ACGCTCGCCTTTCTCTTGTCTTGACAGCTTCCCAGATTGCCCTAGGGGCCCCCAAGATCGTCGCAAGACGGCAGATGAGGCCCCCTAGAGGGCCCCGAGAGAGCCCAAGGGGGGGAATACGCACTGATATTTCGAGCCTTCCCCCCCCCAAGATGGCCCCACGAGTCCCCCTCAGAGGCCCCCGACGCGCCTCCCAGAGGTCCTACGAGGCCTCAGAGACGCCCCCCAAGAAACCCCGAGAGGCCTCAGGCAGCTTTGCAAATGCACCCACGAGCCCCTGAGAGGCTTCCCAAGAGACCTTCATATTCGTCCAAGAGGCTCCTGACCCCTAGCCCAGGCACGGTGGCGGGTTGGGCCGAAGGCTACCCGATCCGCCGCCCCGTTTTGATGTATCGAAGGGGTGCCTGGCGTGCCAAATTATATGGCTCTTGAGTGTGGCTCTGTTTCCAAAAGAACCCACCCTGGGGCTTCGACCCGTCCCGCCGGCCACCCGGAAGGATCTCAAAACGCATTCGTCTTGCCTCGGTTTCCTCCAGTTGGCCCAAGATGGCGTCCAAGACGGCCAAGATGGCCCAGGATGGTCTCCAAGACGTCTCCAAGCCGCCCCAAGATGGCCTCCAAGACGGCTAAGATGGCCCCAAGATGCCTCCAAGACGGCCCAAGATGTACCCAAGACGGCCTCAGATAGCCTCAGGATGGCCTCAACATGGCCCAAGACGGCCCAAGAGGCCTTCAACACGGCCCAAAAGGCCTCCAAGAGGTCCTCCAGGAAGGCGCGAAGAGGCCAAAATCATTGATGTTCCCACGGCTTTTGAAGGATTTTGGGATTTGCCTCTTCTCGGCATTCCGACGGCTCAAGACGGCCCAAGAGGCCCCCAAGATCGCCCACGAGGTCTCCAAGATGGCCCCATGGCGGCCCAAGAGGCCCCCAAGACGGCCCCAAGAGGGCCCCAAGAGGCCTCCAAGACGGCCAAGATGGCCTGCAAGATGGAGCAAGATGGCCACCAAGTCCGCCCAAGAGAGGAGGAGATGTCTCCAAGTCCGCCCAAGAAACCTCCAAGACGGCCCAAGAGGTGCCCAGGAGGCCTCCAAGACGGCCCAGGAGGCCTCCGAGAGGTTCTCCAGGAGGGCCCG